CGCCATAGACTTCTAACAGACTCCACCAAACTTAACATGGTCCGCCCACCGTTCGATATCTTGTCTGCGTCGCCACGTTGATCTGCTATGCTCTCTCTTCTCGGACTTCTCTACCACTCTCCGCGCTCACATTATCTCTCATCTCCCTGCCTGCCTTTTGAACTTCTCCACAGCATAGAGCAAAATGCTCGTATTTCCTGTGTATTTCAGGATTTTCTTTCCTTTTTTCTCCACTGGCGGTCCACCTCCCATCCCTACTTTCACATTTGAGTGGAATCACCTCATCAATTCAATCCTGATTCTTGCCTTTAATAGGTCCTATCTTATCCGCGATCGTCGCTCGTCGTAACTTTGCGACCTTGCGAGCTTTCCAAAATTAGCGCGATGCTGTTTGCTCAAAAAGCCACCGCTAGCGTGAACTGAGCTACGCGCTTTATTCTGCTGAGGTTTATCTCATTATTTTTCATGACAAATGCATTAGTGGAAATGATTACCTGTACTATTATGCATTTCTTAACGAGGTGCTCACTTTCAGAGCCGTGGGGAGTGACTATTCAATTTCCATAATGGAAAAGTGTGAGCGCTATCGCTGTCGCTGACGCTGAACTCCTCCGCCAGTGAGCAAGAAACTTCTGCATTCATTTTCTATTAACGACCGCCTTCTCGACTTGTATCCAGTAGCTCACAGAAATCTTTGGAGCTGCTAGTAAGCAAGGGTTTCCGCTAACAAGTGCTAAGCCTTTAGGCTGTTTCTGGCGTTGTTTATTTTCGTACACTAGGACAGCGCCAGCTTTTCGAATTCTCATGTTTTAAAGGAGTGATCACGATGGCTGGAGGGTGGTGCAGTTTGATGGCTTCATTGAACATCATTGTAGTAAGAACGTCAAGAGGCGGTTCCAACCACACCTCCGTGGTGCTGAATAGTTAAGCCACCAACGACGTTCAATGACGTCATCAAAACACAGAGCCGTCCTGCCATCGTGGTCCCTCCCTTTAAGGTAGTGCTTCCATGATTTTGTCAATGCTTGAGATTTCTTGCTCTTATGTGAAATCACAGGCTGAAAGCTCTGCTGAATGGTCCCCAGAGGGAAAAGCTAAAACGCAAGTGCAACTCATCTCAGTTTAGCATCTCCACGCAGAAACGCCCTCTGAAATATCATTAGCTTCTCCTTTAATTGACTTTTTATGAGAGCTAATTTTGTGCTGAATACTTCCTATCCAGTACCGGCAAGGTTATCAGCTTTTTCAATAAGGACCTGAAAAAAATAACGAACTTCCTCTCGTTGTCAAAATGCATCTAGAGTTCATCTAACAAGTAAAGACTCTTCGGCCGATATAGGTCTGAAAGAGTCATCTCATTTGCCTTCTGAATATGATGGACGATTTTCTAACGGGTGTTAATTATAAAGGATTTTTCTATTTATATAGCGCCATATCTGTCTGTCTGCTTGTCGGCCTATACGTATGTATGTCGTCACAAAATCCAGTATTAGCTGGAGAATAGCTCGGAGAGGCTGCAGCAAGTTTGGAACGGGTGGGGTATGGGACACATGAGCTGAGCAGAACCCTCCCTCAATGGGCGGACTATGCACCGAACTATGTAGAACTTGACGTGGTGAAATATTAATTTCCAATTTGATTCAAAAACGACCCGTAAGAAAATGGCGCATCGAGCCATCAGGAAATTGGGGGGGGGATCCATTACTGCATAAATAATTGTTCGCGTAACAAAAACCAGGCCTTAATGCAGAATTCACAATTCATAACGGGGAAATCTACAAAGTAGCAAAAATGGTGAAAAGAGCAGTTTGTGCGGACTTTCCCAGAAAAAATAAAATTGAAAAATGCGAATTTCAAGATTTTTTGTTCGTTTCATTGCAAGTGTTAGTCTAACTTCTCAAGAAATCTTAACAAACTTGTGAAACTGTGTTTTCAAATTCATCCTAAGACAAATTGTGCCCAGGAGAGGCTTGAAACAGCAATCCCAGCAGTTTTTTTTACACTGCTACAACTATGATGTGGAAAGATGCGCTAGCCTGTGCAGAAACTTAGGTAGGATATGTGGCCTTACATAACTTCAACATGGAAAGCGCCAGAAATCGGTAGACAGGTTTTAAGTGGTGCGTGTTGGAATCTGGGCCGAGGAGACTACACAACCACACCACTTTGAAGCGGTTCACTCCTTAACGCTTTCCCAGGTGGTTTTTTTAGTATACTTCTTATGTTCTTTACTAGGCGGCGGCATGTTCCCCATTAAGGTCGAAGTAAAAGGGAATGCATTGATTGATTTGCCAACAAATGTGATGTTCATCTATTTCAGTTGCAAGCGATATGCAATGTATCCAACAGCTTCTGGTCCACAGAAATGATGCTGGTATTAGTCAACTGGGGAGCGAGTGCTTCCTCAAATGGCTCCAAGATATAGGAGGCAGCATTAACCGTACCGACCGGTTAGCCGGTCCAGAAGAGGGGGTCGTCAGCCTATGGGAAAAGGGATGGATCGTAGTGAGCTCCTTAGAAGAGGAGGGTTCGTTAAAGCTTTGAAACAGGACGCGATGGTTGACCCTGACTGGAGGTTAATGCCGCAAACCTCGAGTTCACGATGACTCATGTTCGTTCGCCGTTCGCGCCGGAGGGCTTTTCGCTCCTTACTTGTCGACTTGACCTGACGCCCAGCCTGGAGCCTTTGTGAGAGCTTAACGAAGGAATTATACGCCATCACTGTCTCCTTCACAGTTCAGCAGACCCAAATCTTATGTAAAAGGAGGAAGTGTAAGAAGTAGGAAAAGAGAGATAAAATGGTTATTTTAAAGCTGAGGTCTTCCCTTTCAAATAATCCGACATCGTTTCTTGGCTATAGTGATTGCTCGATGTCTGGAATGCTTTCCATTCAAAGTACTTATGTGCATAAAGTAATGAACGGCTTGAGCCGTTGTTTCGCAGAGTTATAAATCACAAACTCCTATTGAGACAGTGACGTAGACTCAAAAGTCAGGAGCGGACGACTCAATGAATCCTAATTCCTCTCTTGTATAACCTCAATGTAGCACTCAGTGGAACAATGATGTGCAATTAGACTCTATGTGAAACTCGGCTAGTCTGCAGCGAAGCCAACCTTTTTAACGGTTAAGCAGGCTCTCGGGATTTAATGTTTATCGCAAAGGCAAGTCTACGGACGGCACAATGCGATTTTGAAATGTCGTGAATGCCTAAACGGAGAGGCCCTGTACTTCGTCGTCTCCCCGAGGTTTTAAATTAGACCCCCCGAGTAACTCATATTTTGACTGATTATCTAAATGGGGTAGTTCAAAAATTATCATTATTATTATTCGAGAGGTTGTAGTCAAGATTTGCACATTTATTTTCGCGAAGTTTCAAAATTTTCGCGGTAGCGTCTGTGTTCCAAAATTTTTACCGATGGCCTTTGTACGTTCTTAACAAACCTGCGCATCTATCGAAGAATGAGGGTGATCATTTGGAGGGTTTTCAATGCATTGATATTTTTATTCCTTTTTGTATATAACATGAATGTCTTCTTTTATCTTTGGTGGCATCACTCCGAACAGCCTTTTGAAGATTTCGTCACTTCGACAAATGAAATCAATGATGATGTGGCTTGAGGGCGGTGCGGTCCTGATGACGTCATTGAACGCCTTTGGTTGACCACAGCCCTCATCGCGCTGGGGTGTGGTTAGGCCCGCCTCTTTATGCCCTTCTACCAATGACGTCATCACGACCGCGCCGCCTTCTAGCCGACGTTGGTCACTGCCTCCAACATCTGCTTCCAATGTTTCGAGCATGAAAGGAGCGGTCACGTTGAAACTCTAATATCTGTCTATTACGTCACAGGCGCCATGAAATCGAAATTTTTCCGAATATAGACCTTACTTAACTCACATGTAGAGCTCGTTTGCATTGATATCAATTTTCTATGTTTCATGCCACGTTATTCCTTGTAAAATTCCGCTTCAAGCTCATTTTTAACATTCTTTTTTAGATAGTTCGTTGTCAGCGTGCTATTTTTTCAAAACTTACAGCTGATCTTGCAGTGTTTGTTTTTTTTCACGTTTGATAAGGAGGTTTCTTGCTCTACTCACAATTACCACAACTCGATGTATTATCAAATTACCGACAGAAGCGTAATTTCCCATTCTCATGAGGATGAACTCAGTCTATCCCACTGATCATTCATCTCAAGTGGAGTCTGCTTACGAGTATTTATCGCCGTGGGCTCTCGCTGGCGCCTTTAGTATCTGGCCCAAATTGGACTGGTGTCACTCCGAAAGGTTCCTTTTGCAGGTGTCTTGGACGTGCTCCCGAATATTCCCTTGGATCTTGAAACTTGCTACGCTGATGACATCTACTTCGTTGTAGACCGCCATGAATTTCTCTCTCCGTGCTGATGCAGTCTTCAATACCACCAGTACGGCGGCTGCGCCAGTAGACGTCTTCTCAACACTCACCCTAGGAATCAAATCATTACCCGTGCTTTCTGTAACCACAAGTGCCAACGTGCCTTCATCGTCAACAGGATATTGCTTCCTTTGCGAGAATCTGTCAACTACGACGACTGCTTTTGCTATTGTATTCGCTGTTATTATAAGTACTGGCGTGCTTGGTAATTTGTTTGTTATCGGCGTTATTCTTTGTGATCGTAAAATGCTCGCGTCACCAGTGAATCAATTACTTCTACAACTGGCTATCGCTGATCTTGGTAATTTGATATTCTGTTCACCTGACGCTGCTATGGCGTTGATTGATAAGGGTTGGCTACTGCCCAATTTAGCCTGCTCTATAGTACGATTTCTGCAAGAATATTCGCTCTATGCCAGTGTTCTATTCCAGGTAATACAATTCGTTTACCAACGCACTTTTTGAACAAACTCATTTCTGAAGGCAGTGGCACGAATGGTGGGAGAGAGGGCGGCACGGTTGTAATGACCCCTTCGCGCTACCATCCCTCCAGCTCACCACATCATGACGCAGACCCCTTGTTAAGTCCTATGGTAGAGATCTTGTAGACGATTTGGCCGCATCATACAGGTGTTTTGATGAGGGGCCCAAGCTCTTCGTAATGACATTGTCTTAGCACGTTCTAGAGCACTACTTGGTAAGACGGTGGAACGGGACTCCCAGTTTGAAGAAGT